AATGATTAATTAGCGGTGCAGTCAATACAAGTGCACCAAAAACACGCTTCCCCTGCCTTTTTTGAGGCCCCCCTCGAAGAGTGAGATTTTTAATTAAAATTAGTCCATAAAAACCAAGAAGAAAACTACAATTACATTATCTGAATGCAAAATTAATTGCCAAAACTGAATGTCAAGTGAAGTTTTGTTTTCATTTGCAAAAATACTATAACAACTAGTTTTTCTAATAAGCCTTTTAATAATATTAAATGTGTAATTAATATAATTAATATAGGTATATTTAAGCTAGAGTTTATATAAGCTCACAAAAAATCAGTTACAAAATAATAATTTCCTTATAATAATTATAATTAAAAGACGAGAAAAAATAACTGTTTAAATATTAATTACATATGGATTGCAAACGTCAATATTTTTGTGCTAAAAATGTGTTAATACTCCCACACGTTATGCATATATTATACAACAGAATCTATAGATAGTGTACAATAACTTTATACTAAACAGTAGTACACTATATAATTGGATGCAATGCTTTTGTATAAATATTATTTCAAAGGATTACCTATAAATCTCTTATAATAAACAGAATAATAATTAATGTTTAACTAAACAAATGCTGAATTGATTATAATAAAGGACTTTAACGCCGAAACAAATCTAATTATAAAACGGTATAAATTATGTTAAAATATACATTAAAAACTTAACACATCTATGTCCTAATATATACACTACACATGATAATGTTACTCGGTGTATGGCACACAGAGGGATAAATTTACCATCAGCGTATTTTTGTTTAATTTAATAGCCTTACAGATGTGTAGCACTTGAGATGTGTCCTTAAAGTATAGTTAAAAATCATCACAAATTAATTATACATAAGTTATATCAGGAAAAGATGTTTAGATCGCATAAAAACCTTTTGGCTTTAATACAAGTTTTAGAATTGAAAATTACTGTAAATATCATTAGCTAACTGTGCCCTCAGCGCCGCAGGTTCACAGTCCCGCCTAGGCTTTTACCCTCTCTCTCTCTCTCTCTCTCTCTCTGTTTCTTAGAAATGGTTTTTTGAAACATGAATTAACGCACAGAATATTCTTTAAGGCGAATTACTTTTACCCTCTCTCTCTCTCTCTCTCAGAGAGATCTAATAATAATCGGCTTATATTTTTAGTGCCTGAATGAGAGAGCATTGTTGTGAATAATATATATTTCATTATTATATGAGTTTTATAACACTTTGTTTTTATAGAAATATTGTGCGATTAGTGTTGTGTTGATAAAAATAAGACTCCTATTAATGTGAAAAAATCACTTTTATTCCCAAATGTAGAAAAACTCATAATTTTAGCGATAATATTGCCATTTGGCTGACAATACTATTTGGCGGCGCTTTCTGTCTGTCATTACTATTCAATACAATATTTCCTTTTGATATATAATTCATAGATTGTTATGATTTGACAGATTCTGCCGCAGAATCTCTCTCTCTCTCTCTCTCTCTCTCTCTCTCTCATAATTGATTCGTTGACTCGTTATAAACCCTTTCTCCTCCTCCCATACATATACTAGATTTCGATGACCCGTGTTATCAATGGTGTCTTTGTTGCTAACAATAGGTTTAATGAACTTATAATTTCACAATAAGTGAACGGAATATTGTATTTATAAATTCTGGACTCCTCCCATACATATACTAGATTTCGATGACCCGTGTTATCAATGGTGTCTTTGTTGCTAACAATAGCAAATTACTTGAATATTAAAGTGTTATTCACTTGCCTTATAACATAAATATTTAAGACCACTCTTCACGTATTGTATATATGTTTGTTAATAAACTTAATACAAATGTGTTTATTTAAGATATTTTATGTGATGTGTGTACATATAAAATAAATGGCATGTATGTTTTTATAAAAATGAAATTTAAATGCTATATTCACATGAATAGAGAGTTAATTAAATTGAGTGAAGAGAGAGAGAGAGAGTATATAAAAGACATTCTTGTATTAATATAAACATGTTTTTGACTTGAATTCGCCTTAAAGAATATTCTGTGCGTTAATTCATGTTTCAAAAAACCATTTCTAAGAAACAGAGAGAGAGAGAGAGAGAGAGAGAGAGAGGACTTATCAGAATTTATTGTGCAAAGAATATTCTTGTGAATATAGAGTTCACATTAAAAATGTATAAAATATTCTCCAATTTTTATTTAAAATCAACGGTTGAGCCCAAAGAATGTGCAGAAAATATTTATTTATTATTCCATTAGATATTTCCACACAAACTAAAAACATATTTCCTTATGAATAATTAATTTCAATCATTGAATATACAGTATTGTGTCTCTACTTATGCATAGATACATATATTGTGCAACCATTGTTTTACCAAGCTGTTCTGTGCACGCCATTAAACATTTAGTATATCATTTTATATTAACAATATGTAAGATGATATGAATTAATACAAAAATGTAATTAAAAATTAATTTTAGTGCGAAAAGCAATATAATATAAAATAAATTCCCTTGAATTGAGATTAACGTTAAGTATTTGATGGGTTTGTGTTGTTTACCAGTTGTGTCACTGAAATTCATAGCTATTAATAATTTTGCACGTCTTTTAGGCCGTAGTCTTATATACATTAACCAGTATTTTGTTATTTTTGTTTCGCATTCAGACACTCGATGGACACATGATATGACAAAAACATATTTAGTTTTCTATTGTCTTTGATGCTAGAAATTCCCAAAGGAATAAATTATTTATATCTCGATATATGCCATACATTATAAACTGTACAATACATGTATCATGTTTTTTGTAATTATTTTTCTCAATTTCAGTACTCGATAGTAATGATGAGTTTGAATTATTTTATTACTTTTTCATTTAGTTATATGTAAATCCCATACATCTTATATGACATATGACAATGTAATAAATTAGATGTCTAGGTAAATATTATTGTATATGGAGATGATTATGTTGATTTTTCTCTATTTGTTTCAAAATTGTGTCCATAAAACTACACAACTCCTGATACAGTACTGTCATATGTCTTAGAGGTTTACAAATTGTTTAATATATTTTACATAATATATACAGAAAATTATTCATTAAATCCAATCTAATATTGTTTCAAAATATCAAATGTTATTAGAAATAGTGCCGCAAACCATACAATTATTTTGCACTCATTCAATATTCAGGCAATAAGTAAAGCATTTATGTTATATTCTGTTGTTTTGCATAGAGTTTGAGTGTATTTTGACAATTCGTAGACCCTTTGAAATGAAAATATTAATAGTTTTTATGTGTATTTTTGTTTATAGTTATTTTTTGGTGTAATTTATTTGTCAAAAACAGCACTTGATTTCCATACCGACAGTTGTCGAGAAGTGAATTGTGTTTTTATTTTCAATAATAACTTATTTTTTATGTGTTTTATTATTTTCGTGACAAATAAAACACTGAAAACGTAAGTCATTTTCGTTGCCATTCTTCATATGATTTGAGGGATTTTTTCTGTAAATAATAATAAAACTTCACTTGACATTCAGTTTTGGCAATTAATTTTGCATTCAGATAATGTAATTGTAGTTTTCTTCTTGGTTTTTATGGACTAATTTTAATTAAAAATCTCACTCTTCGAGGGGGGCCTCAAAAAAGACAGGGGAAGCATGTTTTTGGTGGACTTGTATTGACTGCACCGCTAATTAATCATTAATACTAATTAAGTCGGATTTTTAATGAAATTTTTACGCAATTCCTATAGAGATTAGCTGTTTGTCTCGTATTGTTGTATTAAATTATAGTTATTTTAATAACAAAACTTAATACTCGGTAAATCACTGTCTGAACACAATGTACGAGTATTATTACGTCAAATATCGTAATAATAATAATTTTAAAAATTAATTAATTTTAAATTTAATTATTAGTTAATAGCAGTGCTTTGATGGACAGTTGACTTTGAAATTGCTATACAATTATATCCATTGCTTATACACAGGTATACAGTGAACACAATAATGTTTAACCAAATGTTGACATTAAAATTTATTATTTGCACATCAAATGCATATACAAAGCAATTATTTTCAATTTTCACTAATAATTAACTTACAAATATTTATTCACTATTAATAAATTACAAAAATAAATAATATTTTGAAAAACAACTGAAATTTCGCAATCGTTTGAAACCTATTGATTCATTATAATTTATAATTAATATTAATATAATTTATTTGACGTTAACGCATGTTAGGTATGTTTTAATCAAATATAACAAATGGTTTATATTATAAATGTTAAGACTTTTTGGACAACACTAGTTATAACTTATAACTAATCCATAATTAATGTTAAGAATAAGATTTAACAAGGAAAAAAACAAAACTTAATTATATTCTGTCACATAAATATATACTAGAAATGTATTTTCAATATAGAAAGAAGAGAGAGAGAGAGAGAGAGAGAGAGAGAGAGAGAGCTATATAAAAGTATTGATCGTCGAGAAAATTCATTTGAATTGTTTGTTTCAATAGAAAAATCTCTAAAGATTTTTGCCCTCTTTATTAGTGAGTGAACGAGTCTTTTAGAGAAAAACGAAAAGCCTTACAATTATTGGAGAGAATAATTCCCGGCTATTAGTTATATAACAATAGAAGAAACTAATGAATTGTCGTTTAGCTGTAATACAATGTTTCTCGTATACTGTATGGCAGAGGATAACGCTGTGCACTGGTATGTGGGAAGTCATACATACAGTACATGTATTAATACACACATGCCTTTAGATTCTGTGTTACAGAATATTCTCTTTATTATAATTTAGGAATAATTTTATATCCAATAAATATTATAACAATTCTTAACAAGAATTCATTGTGTAATACCCGGGGATTCAATGCAAAGATTATTAATATTATGAGACTCCGAGACCCGGACGTTAAGGATATAAATATCACCAAAACATTGTCCTTAATATACAGCTGAAGTGTTGCCAACAATTTCTGTTAAAATTTTATTTTGTATGTATTTATTAGAAGCTATATTAAATCATATAATCCATATGTCATTAGTTTAATATATAGTGTATTCACGTTATAATAGACATTAATATAGTTTATGACAGATATTCACAAATCAATTCCGGATATAAAATAAATTTACTGGTAATTGCATAAAACATATCCAGAAATTTAATACAAACAAATAGATATCAATATAATTAACGTAAACAATGGACATAGTGGACACAAATGGGCAAGTAGGCGCCCACACATATAGTACATGCATTGAATACATGGTTAAAATAAAATGTGATAAAGACATACCTTTGTGGTGCATTTTGATGAGCCGAGTGCCGGCCCGGTTGTTGTAGATGATAGCGGCCGAGGCGTTAGTGGCGGCGATATTCTTGAGTTTGACTGAATCGCGACAATTGCCGTATTGAGCCAACGCTATCCACGGCTCCGGAGGGTATATGTCCGCGTCTATCGGCTCACACGCGTCGTGTGTCTGACGCCCATTGCTCGACACGTGGACTGACAAATACAAACAAAAACAACCAAGGTCAACATTAATTAACCTGTATTCATTATATTATAATTTTATTATACTGTATTAGATACTAGATCAGCGAGTTCCAAAGTGGCAGAATAGTGGAAATCTTATTAAAAATTGTGCACATTATTCATACACTATTCATACAGACAATGTAAATAAACGAGTACGTTTATAGTGAGTAATATTTGGAAATTACCTAGGTCAAACAATAACCACGTTCACATAATAAATGTCCCCTCTCTATTTTGGAATGGCCTGTACTAGATCAATGCAGCCACTCCCTCACCCCGTGTGTCATACCCAGAGTTGTGTAGCTCATATTTCCGGTCACAAACCCACCCGCGCCCGCTATAAATAGGATGTTATGATTAAATTACCATCTGGTAATGTTGTGGTATATGTGTGTGTCAGCCCACATAAGCCATTACCAGACATTATCGCTAATGTATTTCAAATACCGGGTATAAACTATCATCAAAGCTTATGATAGCATAAATCCTATTGTAATTAAATCATTGTACTCTTTGTCCTTAAGTATCTATATATTGATTGCAAACATATTTTATAGCATTGTTCAGTATATACTGTACACTCGGATAGAGTTATCACCGAATAATGAACTCGTTGTCTTTGAAATATACATTAATGTCATTTAATGTACTCATTGTAAAGGGGATGGAAATATAATCAATGCCTTTATAATAACAAAATGTCATTAATTTCGTTTTGAGAGACATTTTTTGGGCACAAAAAAGTATATAACTGTCAAAATATATCCCTTTTTGTTCAAAGCCTTTGGGAAATGGATGTAATTATTAACTAAAGATTTTTATATAATACTGTATACGATATATGTCTTACATTANGTTTTGAGAGACATTTTTTGGGCACAAAAAAGTATATAACTGTCAAAATATATCCCTTTTTGTTCAAAGCCTTTGGGAAATGGATGTAATTATTAACTAAAGATTTTTATATAATACTGTATACGATATATGTCTTACATTATATACCATATGTCGTATACATTATAGTTCATATGCTATATATATTGCGCTCAAATAAATAGATTAATAATACACTTTAAGATAGATTTATGGCTCCGGGCGGGGGGTTATCTAATAGGGTTTCGGCTAATATACGGCACATTTATATGTATACGTATTTAAATTAAAAACAAAACGACATTTTATAGTAGAAAAAATTTAATGAAAAAATTGTTATAAAATGTTTTTGCAAAGGAATGGGCGAAAAAATAAGGAACAGTTATATACAGTATAAATCGCGTACACATGGAAAATGAACCAGTTTAATTAAAACGACCCACTATTTAGATACAAAGTCTGTGAGAGTCTAGATGTGGGGTAACCCCTGGGGTGACAATGAACTTATTTTTAAAACTTTTTTTACACAAAAACTAATAATATTACCAAAAATATGCATAAAATAAATATAAATATCGATATCATATTAATAATGATGTGATATTATGTGTTATATAAATTATATACAGTATACAAAATACATACTCATTCTTCCGCTGACGGATCCGATCCGTCCGATGGAGTACTTGCCATACTCTTCATACTCGGAGTGCTGGACACCGGTGTGGGGGTCGGTATACGTGAGGTTAATGATGGCCAAAGTAAAGTCGTCGGTCTCATAGCCGTAAGTGAAATCGCACAACACATAGGAATTGTCATTACTGTTCATCTGAATGATTACGATAATTATGGTGAGAGTTGTGAGCGATAATTGTCGATACATTCTTCTGGTTGTTGTTGTGGTCAGCGATGTCTTCATTGTCTGTCAATCATTCACTGAATCCAAGAAATATAAAGTTATGTTTTTTGTTGTTTTACTTGTGTTTCACTACTTCTAGCGAAGAGACGGAAGAAACAGTCGTTGAAATTGAATTATGAGATGATTTTTCGCCAAACACTTGTGCTGAGCATTATTTGGTTGTTCACTATATGTGTGTATAATATATAGTAAATATTCAGATAACAAAACAAAATACAATTTCTTTTGCTTTACTTATTGGTTATAAACCGAGAATTCTTTGCGCACATGAAATAAGATGAAAATTTTTGTGCCGTTATTAACAAAGTATTATAATAAATGTATTGATTTTTTTACATATATGTATTCAAACCGTTTGTTTGTCTATAATGTACGGTAAGTATAGTGTAATCATGGATTACTGTCACAAAAAACTATTTTATCGTACAATTGACGTAAAAAGCGAAATACTTTGTTATTTTAAATGCAAATAAAAAGGTAATCAGAGATAATTAGGTTTCGCTGAGAATTATTTTTAATATTTTTTGAAACAAAAACTTTTATAATTTTATAATAATTTTGTTATGAATTCAGACTATAAATGAATTTGTCGTTTAATCGATACATTTTCTGGTTTTGTAATAACAATTACTGTTAATTAAATTTTTATATAATAAGTAATCAATTGTGGGATTGAATGGGAGATAGAGTGAGAGTGAGAGACAACACAAACAAAAAGCCGGGACAACTCAAGTGTTGAATCTAATTATAATTGTTATGAAAACAAATCACTCGTTTGAATACACAATAGATGTGTTTAAATTTGATGTTTCGTCGAAACACACTATTTATATATAGATTGCAGAGAAAAACAGTCGTCAAAAACAAGGAAAATATAAAGTCTATACTTTATTTTCCATTAAAATACTATTATTATATTAACTTCTAGTGTTTGTCTCAATAGTGAAGCACTTTTAAGGGATCTTTTAAAACAAATATTGAAAATTCTTTGAGTAAATAATTTGTTGTCAAAGAATTTGGAGAATTTACATAAGAATTCACTTTGTTTTTTCCACTTCACTAAATATTTTGTAAATGTCATACACTTTAAACAGAATATTATTATTTTCAATAATTTTAATAATAATATTTGAACACTAGTTAACTTATACAACTATTTAATAATTATGAGATACAGTATATATAACGGTAAATATAATACTAACTGTTTTCATTCAGCACATGGTAAATGTATGTGTCCGGTGTATACCATCATCACTCATCACATCATATGTTTATGGAAATCACGGTAACTGTCAATATATTTATACACACAAAACCGATATACAGTACAGTATATATACGGTATGTATATATTTATATTCTGGTAGAGATTTTTGGTGTTGATTTAACGGCAACTAAATCTGTACAGAGAGTTAACGTAACATTACATACATTGCGTTACACATTATAGCGATCAGAGAGTAGTCGGCAGTCAAACATGTATTAAAACGTGAAATAACACACAAAAACTAAAATGATTAAAAAAAATTAGCAATACGACCTTCTGGCTTATGATGTAGTTTCTCAATGTTTCGCTACGGGATTCGCTTATTATATACACCATACAGACGTCAAATAACCAAGTGCTCAATTCGCCGCTGCCTTTTCCCAATAACACCAGGTATATACCAGTGCGAGAGAGAGAGAGAGAGAGAGAGAGAGAGAGAGAGAGAGAGAGAGAG